AGTATTGCCCCCATTGATCTGCTTTTAGTCTCCAGCCAGGATAAAAGGAAATGGCACCAGGGAGGAAGCATGCTTCATTTAGGCACAGATCCCAGAGTGATAATGGGGTAATAATAGAACTCACGCCACTGTCCGTCAGAGGCTGCATTAGTCTCAGGCTCCTTCCTTGTCTGGGAGCCGCTCAGAGACTTCCTTCGCGGCTGCAGCGCGCCAGCTGGGCCTGGAGGGAGGTGCCCTCCTGTGCGCTTGGAGGGGTGTGGACAGTGGGGCTCAGATGTTGTGCACCCAGTTCCTTGTGTCGGGACCTGCCTGCACAAGGTCAGTGGTGAGATGGGCTGGTGACATTTTCTGTAGGGAAGCGAGCTGGCCTTTTCGGATCCAGTCGCATGGGTGGTCCTGGGAGCAGGAGTGAGTGACATCCCCTGACAGCAGGAAGAGGCTCTGCAAGAGGCCGGTGTGCTTTCTTCTGCTGCTTGTGGCCTGGGAGGGTGGGCTTGGAAAATTCCTATTTTCTTTCCAAGCGTCTGTAGAAACTTTAAAAGACACTCGGAGTTGTGTGGCTTGCCTCGGTTCTTCAGTTGACTGGGAAAATACCAGGTGGACTTTTCTTTTGCTTTGTAAATTTCTGGGTAGTTAGCAACTATGGACTCCTCCACCTTCAGTGCAAGAATACAGACCACCGAATCCTTACAAATGGCATTTGCTGTGCCTGACTCCTTTAGTATTTGGTTTAGTTGTATTTGAATGCACTTTACAGTGATGTGGAATTCTCTGTTTCAAGTACCCACATGACTTTGGCACCTCGTAGCCTTACTTTGTCTAAGTGTTGAGGCAGATGCATTTTAAAAATACCAAACTGGTTTCCATGTGGAAAAAATAATAACTCCTTGTCTGTCTGTGCAAAGGAAAGGACTTTCTATTCCTGTCACTGTCGAACTGTGGCTGTGAGCACTATTAGACCCTCAGAAATAAAGGCAAGTTCTTTTTTATGTTTGACGGAGCTGCTTTCTAACGAGATAGTGCTCTGAACCGTGCACTGGTTTTCTTAATCATTCTGTACTGTGACTAAAGCCATGCTCGTCTCGGAACTGCTGCACTAAAACACCGTGGGCCTAGGAGTCACGTGACATTTGATTTGATGTCTGTGTCGGAGGAGGGGAACGACCCACACATCTCCCATCCCCACCGCACCATGCGAGCACATTGGAAGTGCATCTCTCAGTGGCTTTGCAAACGTTTGGTTTATTACATAGTATTTTTTTTTCATCATGTGGAGTAAATGATTATTTTACAAAGAGAAATGTTCTCTATTAAAATGAGCTACTTACCACATTTTTGCTTTATTATCCTCTTCTAAGGTCTGTAATCTGTAAAAATTGTGTAATGTTTACTTGCTCATTTGTGAATGAAGGATACTTAGTTTTATTGTCTGAACCAAAACATTTGATCACTGATTTTTCTCCGGTTTTCTCATTGCTTAGAAATTACGTTTTTCCCTGGTGAATTAGAAGAGTTAGAGTTGAAAGGCAGGTGACTACAGGTTGTTAACTGAGTGAGACTCACTCACACAAGCCCCTGCTGGAGTGGGCCGGGCAACCCCGGGGCATTACGGTTATGGAGGGGCCCGTTCTCACGCTCGCGTGGGGTCCTGCGCCTTCTTCCACCTCTGAACAGGCCGGCTCTTGCCACAGAGCAGTCCGCGGCGCCTCTGTGCCCAGGAGGGCTACCTGGCGCGCTGCGTGCGTGCCTGCTCTTTACCTCTCTAATTAGAGCAAATTAAACTTATTAAAAACCTCCTCCGTTCCATCTCAGCGACTTATCCTTAGTCAGGGGCTTAGCTGTAAGTATTTCCCGTTGTGTACAATCAGGAGAGGACAGACACGTTCAGGGATCCTTCTGTGCAGTCTCTGTGCGGCTGCACGGATTTCTGCTTAGAGAGCGGTCGCTGACACATGAAAGGGAGACCCCAGATGTTTCCATGGGTTCGCGTGGCAGTGATTCTTCCGTTTTAAACGGGAATTGCGTTTGTTGATTAAACCCAGTTAGGTTAAGTCGGGGACTGAGTTCATCTTCCTCAGGGGCTTCTTTCCTCCGTGGGTCTCTCGTTTACCCCAAGTCCCAATCGCGAGTTCTAACAATAGGCCTCTTTGTGAGTGTGGACACAGAATAGGGGCATGCTTTTCTTTCTACTCTGTCTTGCCTGTAATTCTGCAAATTGGCCAAGCTGGTTCCTGCTGTATTTAGTTAGTGAACCAGACCCCACCCTCAACCGCGGGGTGTTCTGCCCCTTCCCAGAACCCATCTTCTGTACCCGGTGGGCCTCAGCATTTGAGCTGTTGCTACCCTGGGCTTGGCTGCACCCGTTTTGAGAATGCCTGTGGGGGCGCAGGGCTGGGTGGCCACTCTGACCCAGTCTGGGGCCCTGTCCTTCCCCCCCCCCCCCCCCCCAGGAAAGGCAGGGGGGCTGCTGCTCCAGGGGTGCCCAGGCTAGCCGCCTCGGGGTGGCGATTGTGTGGACCATACTTGGGAAAGGGATGAGTGGGGCAGGAAAAGACTTTAATGGGGGGTAAAGGGCAGGCTCTGTGAAGAGGCTGGAGGACAGCCGGGGAGTGACCTGAAGGGGGTGCTCGGGGCCAGGCTGGATGAACTCCCCCCCCCCCCCCCCCCCGGAAGGGAAGGAAGATTCAGAGAGGGAGGCTGCAGGGCAAGACAGATAGGAAGGAGGGCCAGGCAGCCTGGGTGCTGGCTGAGCTTCTGAGCCTGGGATAGAGCACCCTGAGTACCCACCAGCTGAGGGCTCATGCTGTGACCAGGTGGGGAGAATCTAGAGGCTGGTGGCTCTGGATTTGTTCTGTTTTGTAAAACAGCAGATCTCTCTTAATGTTGTAAAAGTGGGCTCATGTTCTAAAACCATAGAAAATGGAAAACTGGTGTTTTTGTTTCTGGTTGTTATGTAGTGACTAGAGGCCCGGTGCACGAAATTCGTGCACAGGTAGGGTCCCTAGGCCTGGCCAGCAATCAGGGCTGATTGGGGCCTTCCTTCATTCTGCGCCGCCCTCTGGTGGTCAGTGCATGTCATAGCTAGCAGTCAAACTCCCGAGGGGACACTTTACATATTCGCCTTTTATGTATATAAGATTATCTTTAACCTTTTGCGGTCCAATGTTATTTTTGGAATTCAAACAGTCTGGTCCAAATTAATTGACGGGATTGAATGTTGAACTTTTTAATGTTCTTATTGCTCAACGTTGGACTTGCTCCTAGCGCCTGGTCTGTCAAGTCAGCCTCGAGGTTGGACCAAAAAGGGTTAAAGCGTCTTATAGGCATGTGACTCCTCTGGAAGGAAATTGTCAGTTGTCTCCGAGCCCCTGGGTCTCCGTGTTGGTTGTAACCCTCTGCGTTGGCTGAAGGCACCTGGTTTCTCCTGTCAGCCTGAGGAGATCCACGGATCTTAGGTGCATGGAGCGATGTTATGAAATAAAAATGCCCAAGAACCCAGGGATGTGTGTCCGTGTGCCTGTGGGGAAGTGGGGTTATAGTAGAACTTAGGAGGGTGAGGTGTGGACGTACAAAAAAAATGCTTTCTTTGTGGAATTACGTGGTGAGCATTGTGCCTGCGATTCAACTGGTTTCCCCACGTGCATTCTGGGAAAGAGGGGCAGGCAGAGTGCTCACTTGGGGACAGAAAGGTAAAGAGAGGTAGGGAGAGATGCCAATAATATTCAAAATTTCTTTTTTTTTTTTAAATATATTTATTGATTTTTTACAGAGAGGAAGGGAGAGAGATAGAGAGTTAGAAACACTGATGAGAGAGAAACATCGATCAGCTGCCTCCTGCACATCTCCCACTGGGGATGTGCCCGCAACCCAGGTACATGCCCTTGACCGGAATCGAACCTGGGACCTTTCAGTCTGCAGGCCGACGCTCTATCTACTGAGCCAAACCGGTTTCGGCCAAAATTTCTTAAGAATAACAAAGTAGGGATTAAAATCCAGATGGTCTTATGAATGTTCTGTTGGCTTACCATGGATTTGCAGACTTACAAGTTTGGGTTCATTGACAGATGCTCGGGGCATAAGTCGGGAAGGAGTAAGGCTGAATGGCGAGAGTAGTGGCAATAATAGTAACAATTTAAAACCTTGATTTTAGAATATTTTTCAGCTCCTACAAGATGTATTTTAAATGCATTCTTTCCTCCTTTCAGAGTTTGTGAGAGCTCTCTGCTCGAGGGAGGAACTAGGCATTGCAGCACAATAATGACTAAGACAGATACTCCACCTTCTTGGATTTACAATGTTTGTTCATAAACTATTCATTACTTTTGTACCATATAAAAACGCCCTCCTCTCTTTGCCCTTTACTATGTAACACCTATTTTTACCTACCCTGTGTGAAAACTTAGGAATATTGGTGACTGTGTGTGTGTGTGTGATCATATTTACAACATTTTAAAAAATTTTAATGGAATAATAAACATGATTTTTATAAGGGAGTGTTTGCGAGACATGCTCTCCATTTCTTGGTGCACATTGGCAAGATTCCAGTGGTGAGGAAGAAAATATGAAAGCAGCTTACTTCTGTTAAACTTCCATGTCTAAGATCAGGCGGTTCCTTGAGTCTTAGTCTAGGTTAAATGACATTTTTGGCATATGTTTGCCATAAAGAAAGGGATCTAATCAACCATGAGGATGTTTTATGAAGTTAAATATCGTTTTTGTCGTTTCACAGTGTCTGTATATTAAATCATCACATTGTACACCTTAGAACACACACACACACACACACACACACACACACACACAGAAAGTAAACACAGTTTTGCTCTGTTCTGAGGGTATAAGGTAAGTCCTGAGGGCCGGCCAGAGTCCGTCTTCAGTCTTTCCATGCCTCCGACACTTACTGAATACCCGGCCGCCCTGGGCTTGGGTCTTCTAAATGTCTGTGTTCAATTTCTTGTAAGTTGAATGGCATTTTCACTGGCTCTTTGCTGTGCCCTCAGCTCCTTCCAGACCAGCTGGTCTTGCTTCTGGAGCGTCTGTTGGAGCAGAAGACCCTGAACCCCAGAACTCTGCGAAGCCTCGAAAGGACATACCGCCTCTCCCAGCAGGATGCAGAGGTAACCAGGGCTGCCCTCAGTATAAACAGCAGGGCCCTCGCGTGTGGACAGTGTGGTCCCGGAGCTTCCCAGACCGTGGGACTGCGCTGTGATTGCCATCAGCACCCCCCCCCCCCCCCCCAGCTGTGTGCCTGAAAGTGAAGAACAAGCCCTTGTGGCCAAGTGGAAGCTGCTCCCTGGTCGGGCTCCCTCCAGCAGGGGCCCCAGAACCTGCTTATTACCGGGTCTCCCCTCTTTTTAAACCATAAGGACGGACACAAGTCCCCAAAGGAGTGTGAGCAGGCAGGGTGGGGCGCTCCTGAGTTACAGACTGGGGCGGGTCAGCTTTGCAGGCTGGTGACGCCGTCCTGCTGCTCGTGGGGAAACGCCTCGGCCTCGGGGTGCCAGAGCTGCACGTTGCCTTCAGCCAGGACAGGGAGGGAGCCATGTGTAACGGAAATGAAAACGAAATCTAACAGCTGTGGGTTGAAAAGCAAAATTGGATGCTTGTGGGAAAGCAATATGATGTGGTTCTTAATATCTTTTAGCTTAATGTAAAGAATGCACTGTGAATCCTAAGATGAGTGCCAGGGGTTTTTATGTCTATAAAATAATTATTTATCGTACTTAGTCATCTTCAGTAAAATACAAGTGCACGGCCATAAAGAGAGAAGTTCTTTTACGTAAAACTCCTAAAATGCAAATAAGTTTGGTTTGTGTTCAGGTGAAAATAACTGAGCATCTAAAAACTGCAGTTTTACAGGGTACCCATCAGGCACACGTAGCTGTGGAGCCCGTGGCTGTGGCTGTGGGTGTGAAAGGCACAGTGGATACTGAAGACGTAGTGTGAAAAAAAGCAAAATACCCTACTAATAATTTCTTCTAATTGGTTAAACTGTCAAAATGATATTTTGGATATTTTGGGTTAAATAAAATGCTATTAAAATTAATCTCACAATCATTAAAATGGGGTAAATGGAGAAAAGATATCTTATTATTAGATTAAAAGGTAAGATGGACATTGTTTTACCTTTTTTGTAATCCTCACCTGAGGGCCTGTTTTCATTGATTTTTTTAGAGAGGGCGGCAGGGAGGGGAGGGGAGAGAGAGGGAGAGAAATATCAATCTGTTGCCTCCTGTTCACACCCCAATCAGGGCTTGAACCCGAAACCTAGACATGTGCCCTGACTGGGAATCGAACCCACAGCCTTTTGGTGTATGGGACGACGCTCGAACCAGCAGAGTCACCTGGCCAGGACCATTGTTTTACATTTTCAAGCTCCACAAATTCAGGAGTTAATTGAAAACCTTCAGAGAAGACACACATAGCTTCAGAAGACACAGATCAGATGTGCTGTTTACTTCAGCTCTTACATGTTTGTTCATAGGTGTTTCCACATGCCAGCCCGTTATTTTTAATTAGTGTTTAAAGATGTTTCTATATACAGACATGAGGCTAAGTTTTAATCAGAGCTGAATACCGCTGAAATGCCAGGCCCCAATGACGGGCAGTGGACAGACGAAGGCGGGAGGATCAAAGCAGGCCCGGCGCACCTGTCACAGCCCGGAAGCCATGAGGTGGTAGACACTGATGGCTCCCCTTCCTTTTGGCATAAAACACATCGTGTTCTTAACTTACAGCTCAGCTTAGTTGTTTATAACCTCCCAAACCTTTAGAAAGCATAATAGGTTTTCTTTGGTTGGTTGTTTTACAACTCACAGACTACACCATGACGCCTAAGCCAGGGCGGCCTGGACCCTGGGGGCAGGAGGCCAGGGCCTGGGGATGGCTTCGCTCGGTGTGCATAGCTGGGGTGGCTCCATGCAGTTCACCAGTGCTGCGCCAGGCACTAGGGACATAGCAGTGGGCACCACCACCGAGGGTCACCCTGAGGAGGTGTACGTTCTTCTGGAGAGACAGCGCATAAGTAAATGAACACAACGCTTTCAGGTACGAGTTACAGTGGAGGCATACAGGTGGCGCTGAGCTGGTTGTCTGTAGGTGGAGTACTCAGGAAAGGCCACGCAGACAGGTGGCATTCGGGCCAGGACCCAAGGGGCAGGGGTAACTTCCATACAGAGGCAGCAGCAAGTGCCACATGTGAGCTGGCATGTGCTAGGATGGGGGTCAGCAGGCTTTGTCTGTGAAGGAACAGACAGTTAATATTTCAGGCCACATGGTTTCTGTCCCCCTGGTTCACCTGTGCCGTGGTAGCACGGAAGCTGCCAGAGAGAGACACACAGACAAACAGCCGTGCCTGTGCGTCAGGAAAACGTTATGGACCCCTGCAACTTGGATTTCGTGTAATTACCACGTCTCAAGATAATTTGTTTTGTTTTTGTCGTTCCTTCTTTGAACTGTTTTAAAACATATACAACACTCCTAGCCGGGGGTGGGGGGGTTGATTGGGTCTGCCCCATCTGGAGTTTGTTGACCCCTGCGTTGGGGTGGGCAGGGGCCAGACCAAGGGGTCCTGGAGGCCTGTGCCCCTTTGGGCTTTCATTGTCACAGTGTGCCTCCTTCCCCAGCTCTCTCGTCCTGGCACGTGTGTAGTTAGTTGCACTGACAGTCCATCTCACCGGCGTTTCCTTGAAATGTCACTCAGAAGCAGAAAAGCAACAGGATTTTGGGCAGTTTTCTAGGAACATTATTGGTTACGTGTGACTTATTGTGACACTGATTGGCAAGAATTTAGTAGAATAACATCTGCCTTTATTCTAAGTGACAGAACATTTCATGGAAGAAAGGATGACTTTTTGGTGGGAAACGTCTTGAGGATTCTGACTTTATTCTCGGTGCTTCTCCTGAGCCTGAACAAGTAAGGACAGCCTCTCAGTCATTGTCAGGGCTCTCAAATGTGTAGTAAATAGCAAGCCTTTGAGAGCTGGCGGAGACCCTGGAGTGCGGCAGGCTGTGGGGCGCCCTGGGGGAAGTGCTCGCGCCCCTGGGACCTTAGTGCTGGATTGGGTGTCTGTGTGACACCCAGCACAGCAGGGAGTGCACTTGACCGGCCGGTGTGATCCCGTATTTCCTGGAGGCACAGGAAGGCCTCCTCACTCCTTCGTTTTTTCCTGGGCACATCCCCATGGGAAGTCACTTTCCGAGGGGTGAGCCTCTTATTTCACGTGTCCTTGAAGCTGAGTCTCACTGCTCATTCCCGATCGCCCCGTCGCTGCAGGGCTCCTGTTGGCAGGCGGACGCTCTCCACACGTCGCCCAGCCTCGCTCCCGTGAGGGAGGAGCCTGTGCTAGCACAGACCAGGGCCCTCCGTTCAGTAGCTGCTTCTCTGCTGTCTACCTCCCCCCCACCACCCCTTCCCTCCTCCTTCCTTCTTCCTTCTCTTTGTGTGTGGATGCGTGCAAGCCCACTGGGAAGTTTATTTTTAATATTCTCTTTATGTGGCTCAATATTTGTGTTACTTGTGCTGCTCTGCTCTGTGCTTGGCTGTGTTCACAGGATGTCTGGTCTGGTACCAGAGTTTCTGAGCACGATGCCTGGTCTGTGTTGCCCGCCAGCTTTTTTCCGTCTGAGGTGGTAGGTTACAGGGCCTGTCCTTCTTGGGATGTGAGTCCCCAGGTCTGCTCTGGGAAGGGATACCACGTGTTCGGAGTCTTAAAGGAAAAGTGCACAAGGACGAACAGAGTAAAGCATCCATCCTAAGCCACCCAGCCTTGTGGCCACTCCGCCTCTGGAAAGCGGGGCTCTCTGCTGGGAATGTTGGGTTCCAGGACCTGGAGAGGAACACTAGCTTTGGGTCAGCCACCTCTCACATCCTGAGTCCGACACGACCAGCCAGGTGCAGGCTCTAACCAGGACGGAAAATGAGCTGAAGGGAAGCTTAGTTCATAGAAATATGTGTCTTCCGTTTTTTAGCATATTGGCTCAACTAGAGCCATAAAAGTCTAAAAATATATTGGACATGGATTCTTGGAACAAAAGACATTTTCTAAGATCCCATTTTAAGTCATGAATTTCTGCATCTGTAGCGGGTCTCCAAGGCTGTAAAAGAGCCGCCCCCTGGTAGTGAGCGAAGATCCATGGAATGTGGTTCTGTGACCTCCTTTCCCTGAGCGCACGGCTGACCTTGAATCAACTTTACTTGTACAGGCTGCAGTTGGGCACTTCAAAATTGGGGACTCACCTCAAGTTAATTATTGGAAAGTTCAGAAACCGCACTCATCACCTGAACTGTCTTGCAGTGAGTGGGGGACATTGCTCAGGAAGGCCCCCCAGCAGCCTGCCCCGCTCTGATGTTGCGACTGGTGGACTGTCCTCTCACTGTGTTTGGGAAACACTGCTGGTTGGAAGGAAGAAGCTGCCCCGGTCAGGTTGGAGTGCAGAGGAGGGGACCGTGTCCCTGTCGGGGGCCCCCGTGGTTGGCCCCGTGTGAGGAGAAGACGGATGGATACCTGCTCATGTGCATGTGAGCAGCTCTTCATGTTTGATCTCCTAGAACGCCCAGGCACTGACTTCACAACAAATGGACTTGGGGCCCAGATCCCAACACGTTGCCCCCTCCCGGCCCGTTTTCCTCGTCTGCACGGCAGAGCCTAGACAAGGCTGCGGGCTCCTGGCTTCTTGGCTGCAGCCAGTGGCAAAGAATGTTTCATGACACTGTCTTTACTCTTCTATTTTCTATTATTTCCTGTTTCGTTTACTTTAAAAAAAAAAAAAAGTTCATTGTGATGCAGTAAATTGATTTTAAAATGCCATAACCCCTTCACAGGATTGTCCTGAGAAAAGGTGGTGAGCATTCAAGGTCCTGTGACTTCTGTTGATGAGAGATTCACTATCTCTCAATTGGTGTAAAATGGTCAGATTTTATTATTTAGCTGTTCTTTTCCTTTTAATCTGTCAGGACTGGCAGGGAGTAAAAGTAGTAAACTACCCAGCTGTTCAGCGCTCCTAGGCCTCTGGTAAACGTTAACGGGTAAAGAATGATCGATCTAGGGGCTTGATAGGTTTGGGGTGTGCGGGGGGAGGGGGACTTTGCTCTGACATGTGGACTAGATAATTGCCC